TGTATTTACGTGTTTTATTCCGTTGAACTTAATAAACTCCAAATTATTATAACCTTGAGATATGTAATTTAGCCTCTTAAATCGCTTAAGACGATAGTCATAAAACAAAAGAATGATTTTAATTATTTTTGTGTGTCATATATCTCTTTTATCAAAATTTCTTTTATGTTCGGCAACAATTAGATGGATTTTAAATGTCGTATGTTAAACCGGGGAATCAGTGAAGAACAAAATAACTCGAAATTAAGAGCAAGGAAATAAGTACAAAGAAAAAAAGCACCACTTAACAAAGGCTTTAAAAAGCACCGATTTTTTAATCCTTTAATTAAAAAGTGCGAAGTGGGAAAAAATTATTTCCGTAAACTTAATGTACATTAATGAATTTTTTTTTAAAAAAAATATCTAATTACAATCAATATAAAATTTAAATACGTTAAATTCGAGCTGAACGGCCAAAATCGAATGGATTGCTAAACTCGTTTAATTGTTTAAGCGGTGCTTTTTGAATTATAAATACCACTTTAACTATTGTACTTTTCCAGAGTTTTTTTTCTCTCCTTTACCATGCAGGCAAGAGCAAACTAGAATAAGTACTACCAGAATTACACAACATTAATAGCTCAACCTTTTCAGAAGGAAAAAACTATGTATTAATTTAATTTGACGCCCGGTGGCTGAGTGGTAGAGCTTCGCGCTCCCGTACCATGGGTCCTGAGTTCGATCCTCGGGCCGGGCAAGGTTGACTCATCCTTTCATGCCTTCAGTGGGTCGATAAATGAGTTTCAATGATGATTGGGAACTAAACACTGTTAATTTCGCGTTCGGCTGACCATCTAACCGGAGCATCTGCTCCTGCACCCCAGAGCCCAAGGTCAAGAAAACTGAGATGGGCACAGTACAGTAGGCCTTGGCCCTCTATGGGCTGTCGCTCCACTGAGTTTAGTTTTTAATTTGCTTTTCTTTGTGAATCATCTAAGATATTCTCTCACAGTTAAGTATTTATTAAATACTGATATAACTTACAATTCGAAAACAAAAAAAAAGAAGTCAACTGTGACAATTTAAACAATAAAGGTAATTATTAATTAAAAGTTATTTTTTAATGGAATTGTTCATTTGGATTCATTTGTATTCATTCCCTTGGAAGCAGAATTTTTACTAAGTGTATTTTTCATACTTTTTTTTATTATTTTGTATTAATTTAGGTCAAAATAAGTAAAAAATATTATATTTAGCATTTCAATAATTTATGGTTATGAAATACCGGATCTTTCTCTGAGGTAAAGGTTAAACCTCCCTAACGGCTTACCTCCCAAACAATAATTTTTCAAAATTGCTCTCATTTGCATCGATTTAGATCTAAGAGAAACAGTTATTCATCATTGAAATTTCTTTAATTTACAAAATCAATTTATGATAAATGTTTGAAAATGAATGGGAAAAAAATCAAACCGCTTTTTTCGGATTTTATATTTTAATACAAGTATATTTCCGATAATCTAACAGATATTTTTACTTACAATTAGACTGTTTCTTATTTAAAAAAAAATAACCAAAATATATTTTGGCTGATAATTAGAGCATCAGAAAAAAATATATAAAAAAGACACCAGTGTCCCCATCTGTGTCAAAAGATTAATATGTAAATGCATAGGTTTTTTTTTTAAATTTTTTTTTTTATTTTAAGATTGATGTTTTATTTAGGAACTTGAAATATATATAATTCCTTCAAAAGCATAATTATGTAAAAATAAAATTTTATAGTTATCGAGAAATTTGACATAATTTGATTTTTGGCGGCTTTGAAGGCGAGGGGTTTGTTTCGTTGCACGTTTTAATATATATTTCTAAAAAAATATTTGAGTTAAATTTTCTTAACCAATTGAATTCAACAACATCATAATTAAAGTTTCTTTTCTAAAAAAAAAATCGATCGTTTTCTTGCAAAAAAAATAATAAGCGAAAAAAATTTACTTTATTAAAAAGAGCATGAAGTATGTGATTAATATAAAATATAATTTTTATTGGCTTAAGGTTAATAGTGGGCCATTCAGTAATTGAATAACTATTTAACTTTAAAGTATGTATTTGTCATCAGAGCTGTGGAGAAGAAATTGAAAAATATTTTGTAGGAGTCGGAAAAAATCAGCTCAATCCCGACTCTGGTTAATTAGAAACAGCTCAATTCCGACACTGGGTTACTTAAAATTTTGTCCTGTAAATTAAAAGAGGAAGAAAAAATTTTAAAAAAATTATTTGAACAATTATTTTTTATTATACAAGCAAAATTACTGCTCAAATGAACATTATGACAATCATTTAAATTATTACTTAATTTAATGAACCTTATTTGAACTCTTTTTAACCCATATTTGACCGAATCAATTTAAAATTTATTTAGGTAAGTTACTACGCAATTTGAAAAGAAATATGCAAATGAATTTAAAATATAGTTTGTAATATTTCATAAATATTCTCTAAAAATTTTCTTTTAAAAAGACGTTTGTGTATGTATGATAGTGGGAATGAGTTGTTTAAAATGTAGTTCTTTTCTTACAATGGGTTTTGCATAATTTCAACATTTTATACAACTATATTTTTTAATATTTATTTCAGCCATGCTACAGTTCATATTGTAATTTTAGATAAAAAGTGTTTTTTCTAAAATTGTTCATAAAAAATACATAGTCTGAAAATTAATAATTACTTAATGATTATAATGACCTGGGATAAGGTGAAAATTTTGATTACATTTAAGCTCTCTGGAAAATCAGGAAACAGAATCGAACATTTCAACTATAGACTCAGTTTCGCCCAACTAGTGTAAACCAATCAGTGTGAGTCCTTCCTTATATGAGTCTTTAAATGTATTTTTTATTATTTCGAGAAGCAGCATTGCAGTGCAAAAATAATTCAATATTTTGCTCCAATGCGAGACTCCATTTCTCAATTTCGCTTGACGAGTGTTTTTATTTATTTATTTTGTGACAATTGGGTACTTGTACTTGAAGAAGAAAAAACCCTTCCATACCAACACACGTGACTTATGACGCTAGCACCAGCTAATCTTTATCAGCAAAATGGCTGATTTAAGTTGAGCTAAGTAACTCAAAGTAAGTTAGAATGTTAATTAACGAAAATTTATTTAAATACGGAGCAGCATCGAACATCGAATTAGTTGAAATATAATTTTTTCTAGCCTACTTCTTTTATTTGACTTAGATTTATTATTTACTTATGTATTTAATTGTAATCGTGATCTGTTTTTGTTTTTTGTACCTGGCAACTTCGTTGCATAATTACTTTGTTTATGTTCCACGTGACTTCGTACCTGCCGTTGTGTTAAGCCTCTGTGTAAATATATAGGGAAAGTATTGAAATCTTTGAGGAAGAATCTTTGTGAAAGAATTTAGAATGGGTTACTTAACAAAATTCATACTTGACGGGCTTGGTTTACTCGAAATAGAATGGAAAAAACAGTAACTAACGTAAACAAATGCCACGTTTCAACAACCAATCAAGATCAAGATACCCACACCACGTCACGTGCAGACATCTCATTCAATTTTATTATTTACTATTCTTAATGATATTTCTCAGAATAATTAAAAAATATAGTTACTAACACATATAAGCAAACTAATTATGCGTCGAAGTTGATAGGTACACAAAGCAAAAATATATCATGATTAAAATAAAATAGATATATAATACATCTAAGTTAAGTAAAAGACGTAGAAAAGAAATAATTATATTTCAATAAATTCGATGTGTGATACTGCACTGTATTTAATTAACTTCATTTTAGTTAACATTCTAACTCATGTAGAGAAACTTAGCTGAACTTTAATACGCCATTTTGCTGATAAACGATCAGCCGGAGCTGAAGTCATTAGTCACATGTGTGAGTATCCGTGGTCTTCTTCTTGAAATGCAAGTCCCCAATTATACTCATCCAGGTAAAATAATAATAATAATTTTATTCATTGTCATTGTTATTCATTGAAAAGTGAGTATTAGTTGTGTTGTTAGGCTTTTTAAGTTAGAAGGTCAACTCTAAAAAATTTTTCTTTATGAGGTAATTTTGATAAAAAGTTTAATTGAGGTTCCATTAGAGATCAAATAACATTTAAGAATCTATTGAAATGATACCGAGAATGTAAATTTATACATACTTTAAGTTAGAAAAAAAATGTCGAATTTATAGACCAAATATTGATTTAATACTTCGTTTTTATCATTATATACTAGAAAAATATCATTACACGTTATATTTCAAGTTGTAAGCATTATTTAGGAATTCCACTTCACCTCTTGTTTTATCGAAGATGCCTCGATATGAGAGGTTTAATTTAAAGCTGTTTTTTTTTTTTTCAAATCGTATTTTCTGCATGTTTTACATTTTTGTATAATTAGTTTTTGTCAAAGACTCATGTTCAAGTGTTAAACTATTAAACAACAGTTGCCGTTTTTCTTTTTATTTTTTAAAATTTTAATTCGTTTATTACTTTCCGTGTCTTTGTCAGCTTTTTTTCTGCGTGACAATATTTTTCATGGTCATTTGATGGCAAAAAGAATTTTTAACCACTGTTTAATAAACTTATTAGGTAAATTCGTTCGAACAAAGATCAGTTATTTTTTAATAATCAGGTTTCTAACATCTAAAATTATTTTTTTGGATTCGCTGTATGTATTCTAAAGTAAAATGCTAATTTATGAATTTAGTTAAAGCAATATTTTATTTTTAAATATGTTTTTTATGCATAAAAACGTACTTACAAGGAACAGAAATATTTCTAAATGCAATATATTTCAATGGATTCATTATGCTCTATAGTTCTTTTAGTTGCACGGAACCCTTAAGACTTTTCGTGGAACTCTATGTTTTCACTTGAGAAGAAAAAAGGACGAAGTGTAGGAGGGGGAAGGGTGATTTGACCCTGGGGAGGCTTGACCCACTTTAACTTCCTCTTTTTCTGCAGCCTTCAGAAACTCTCAATAGATGGCAGTGTCACCCCGTGAAGTTAACGACAAGATGTTCCATTTTGGGTTGTCGTTCGATGCATCGTCTGCTACAGAAGTAGAAATTTCTGTTTTCTTCATCAAAAAGTATGTAATTTTGAATGAATTTGTCTTGACTTTATATGGATATATTCTAAATTATGTATCAGAACTGTTTGAGCTGTAAGCGATAAGCTGAGGCTGGTTTTGAAAGGGGATTCGAATGCTCGTTAAAATCCATTATTTCTCTTCTGAATAGAAAGTTAATATGGCTGCCTGCTTTAGGGAGGATTGGCCCGTGGGTCAATGTTTTCGAATTTACGATATGTTCGTTTAAAATTGCGATCAGTTATAGTTTCTGTTGATGGAAAATTTATTTTATTTTTAGCTTATTATTATTTGATGTTCAAAAAAATAATATCATAAGCACGTTTTTTTTTTTTACATAATGTATAATTACATATTATAAGTAGTTCGTCAAAAAATAAAAAAGAATAAGTTCAATAAAAAAATTATAAATTTTATGTATGAAATTTAATGGCGACCATAGAAATTTTTATTTATTTAATTTTTATTTGTTTGTTTGCGAAATTAAAATATGCTGATATTTTTTTAAATAAAATCTCTCTACATATATACATATTATTCCTAGAAGTTAACCAGCCATTCTACGAATTTAATATGGATAAAAAAATTGAAAATGAATTTTAAAAAAAATAAAATTGCAGTAGTTTAATTTTGTACAATTATCACAATTTAATGCTGACAGTTAATTTTTTTTTTTTTTCATTTACCGTTACAAAATTAAATTATTACAGAATTTTGATAAAAGGTGGCACATTTTTCATTTTTTCTTCATGTTTGACGGGAAAAAAATATTAAGGTTTTTAGGGAGAATCACTGTTTTTATTAAGAAAATAATCATTCATAAAATTTAACGTAGAATAAAATATAAAAAAATAATTTAATGTTGCTGTTTTTTTTTATCATGATTAAAGAAATTTTTATTACACGAACCGACGATGGTAGACCGACGACCAGTGCGCAAAGTCGAGCAATTTACGGCAGAACAGTTTAACAAAGACCGATACCGCTCACCCTCGGTCCCTACGCAATCTGATCAAAGTGGTCACCCACCTGCCTACTGACCGCAGCCAGTGATGCTTGACTTCGGTGTTCTACTGGGAACCGTGTCTTAACGATCAGTCCACTGCGGGACTGTAAAAAAATAAAACCATAAATAATAGTAATAGAGAAGTAATTTTACTCCTTATTGATATATTACGATAACCTTAAGTGTTAAGATCACTCTAAATGTTAAGGTTTAGATTTTGAAGTATTCAATCTCTCTCTTTCTTTTTTTATTTTTTTTTGCTACGTTTATCATTAACTCAAGTGCAAGCTTTTAAAATAAAGATCTAGAGAAAGATGAATTCTCTTGCAACAATAGATAAATGGCCATTATTTTTATTTGAAGCAAAAAGAAAGAGAGAAAAAAGTTGTAAAAGAAAAGCAATTAGAATTGCGATAACTTTCGAACAAACTGAAATTTTGATAAATAAAAATGGCCGTTCTGCGTACCATTCCAAGTAGTAATAAAAAGCGCAAAATCAAGTTTGGAAATATCGCAGTATGACAATTCACTTTTGTAGTAAGATAACAGTCTATAATTTCTAGAAATACGTCGTGTTATAATTTAAAATTCACATTAACTTTTGTTAAATACAATCTATATAGATCAATCGATAATTTTTGTCAAAAATTAGAGGAAGATTGCAGGAATGGGATTATTAAAAGCACCTCTCGATTTCTCGTGGCAATTAAACAAGTTTGGTTATTTTCCGACCCGCTTTCCTTAGTAATGATTAATCCTATTTCAATAACGTTTTTTGTCTTTTTCCTCATTTAAATGAATTTTTGCGAACCCTATGCATACACATTTTATTTTTGGCAAGATTCTAAAAATTATATATGGTTAGGGAACAACCTGTATATTTTTAGAATCCGTATCATAAATTGAGGCTTCTGGATCTGGACATACAAATTAGAGTGAAAGTTTTAAAAACTCTTTTGTGGATTGTGCTTCATAATCACCACCCTTAATCTATTCTTTTAGAATCTTGTGATCATTATGAGTCATAATATATATATGATTTATAATTCCAAATATATGTTTCTATATAAACAATTCGTGTAGATTTTGAGACATATATTGGGGGGACCGGAAAGTAATGTCGGGCAAATGTAATACCGGGCAAATGTATACCGGGCAAATCTAATACGTGATTATCAAAATTCACCGGTGGAAGCCAACAACCACCAATTTCGGTCATTCACAGCTACATATACTATAACGTAAATTATACGTTGTACAAAATAAAAAAGCAGATCACATTAGTAATTTTTATTATAATTATCGGATTATTACGTACTAATGCAAGCTTAACGAACTTGTGGGGCTAACCGTGTGTAATCTAATAAGTTTGCCGATACGGTATTTTGTACTACAAAATAGGGCGCTAAAATTTACGGAACATTACCCTTTTTTCCGACGTATTCAGATTCTTGGCTCACAAAATATGTCGTAGTAAGCTGCTTTATGGCAACAATGGTTACTGAGCTGTAGTGGCTCAGGGGATAGAGCGTTCGCCTTCCAATGAGGTAACCTGGGTTCGAATCCCAGCAATGCCTGGTCGATACCAATTCCGCACCCGACTCACACCGGCCACAGTGCTTACGTAAAATATCCTCAGTGGTAGACGGATCATGGGCTAGTGTCCATTCCTTTGTCTTCTGGATTAGGTTTAAAATTACAAGGCATTAGTAGTCGTAAACCCTAAATTGGGTCAGTTGTTCAACGACAGTTATAAAACAATGGTCACTATAATTTAGCCTGCGGTCGAAAGTTTAGATGCCATATTTGACAATTTCACCGTACTTTTGAAATTATGTACGCGAATGAAAAGAATTTCGCACCCACTTATAAAATTCATTATTTCACTGATAATTCCATATAAGTTTTATGATTAGTTATAATTAATTACTAGGAGGTTTCATTCCCTGTTTGCTCCGTTTATAAACCCCTTGGTTGCCTCTATATTATCATTTTTTACTCTCTCCTTAACTCGATATTTTTCAACAAGAAAAGGGAGATTATTTTGTTTGTAAAAGTTATACAGTCAGACTTCTATTTAACGAACTTCCATTTTGCAAATTTCTCTATTTTACGATTTCTTTCGAAGAACCAAGAACATTTTGGAAATTTCTTCGTAAAATAACTTCCAAATAGCGAAGTGAATTTTCTATTCAACGAACTTTTCTTTAAGATCCACTTTCCCTATTTCCCAAAATATTTCGGAACCTTTCAAACTTGTTAGCGCATTTTATGGAGGAAATGACCTTGAATTGATTTTCGCAGCCACTTTTAGAGAAAGAGATAAAATCTCTTATCCTTTTTTGTTAGCATTTCGTACAGGAATGAATCCATATCAAAAATCAATTTACGAGAAAGCATAACAGAAATTTCTTAAGCATGGAACTATGATGTAACAAACCGTAGGGGAGAGTGGGGTCGATTGTAACAGAGCAAAAATTTCGAGTGTCGGGTTCTAGATTTGGTTCCTAGGTGGCGCACAAGGTGTATTTAATAAATCTACATGTACACCCCTGCTGGCAACCATTTTTATGTACTTTTGAAAGAGTTACATCACAAAAGATATTTTCACGCTACGCAAGTACTTTTTTTGGTATTAGAATATTATATTGTAACAAAGTAATTTTGTTTAAACAAATAAAAATTATTAACCGAATATGTAAGTGGACACCTTAATTAACATTTCAAAAAAAAAAAAAGATTAGTTTTGCTAATTAACTAGCATTGTTTTTAACAAATGAAGCTGAAATGGCGTCTTGGGGACAATTGTAACAATAAGTAAAGGGACGATTGTAACAGCTGAAAATAAATAATCTTATGTTTACAAACCATTACTTAACTCTTTAAGAACCACCAATAGTTTCATATATCATTTATATTATGTTGCATGTGCATTATTTTATTTGTCACCTTTCACAGCACAAATTAAAATTTTTAACCCCTTAAAGTTAAAAGTTGAACCCTTTAGGTCTCCGCTTATTATTATTTTTACTCCTAAAATATCACTACTATTTTGATCAATAAAAAATCTATCACAACTATGATAATATGTATAATTAACTATGTTTTAGTTGAATTTATGAACTGTTACAATTGACCCCGTAAGTGGGGACTGTCAAAAATTGTTAATAACTAATATAATAGCATTTAAAATAAGGTATTTATTTTTTTTTCTAGTAGAGGATAGCCTACTTTACTCGTCTGTCAATTAATACTAATAATATATTGGATTTTTTGTTAGTTAAAAATAGTTAAGTAAAAAATGTTACAATTGACCCCACTCTCCCGTACTATTCGTAACAGTTTTGCTTAAGCTGGATTCTCAGTCAGCGCGAAGAATTTGGAAAGTGTGGAGGACGAAAATTTAGAAGAACTAAAAAAAAAAAAAAAAAAATTAATAAATTACAGATAAGAGAGAACCACGAAATTAATGATGATATATTGATTAATGATATTCTTTTTATTGATTCTGAAGCTGCAACCACTCAAACATTAACTGAATCGGATATTTTAGACAGTGTGAAAAATATAAGCAGAGCAGTACAGCAGTAAATTGCGATGAAGACGGAAATGAAGAAGTCACCAAACCTTCATATGATAAAATGTTAAAATCATTTGAAACAATTCGATACTATATATTAATTTACGAGATAAAGGTGTATCAATTGCTATTTTAATTACATCTAGTATTTATGATTTTAAAACCTGTTTTGTATTGTTTAAGTATTTCAAATGGTGTTTTACTATTTAACGAATTTTCCATATAACGAACTTTTTATCGGGATTTCGCTACTTCGTTAAATAGAGGTCTGGTAATTATTATAATTTTATCTAAGAATTTTTTGTTAGCATGTTAATCGTAATGATATGAACGATTATTTGAATTTTAAAAAAATAAATCAACTGTAATTGAAAGAAAATGCTGAAACGAAAGAACATGCAAGACTTTAAAAAG